CTTATCTCAAAAAATGGCACACTCCAGCGCTCCAGCGCTCGCATCTTATCCCCACATCCCATTCCTCTCTCTGCGCTTTTTTTTTGAAATTTGCAAAAATTCGAGAAAGCCCTCACTATTGCTTCACATTCTCCAGTGCAATCTTCCTTCGCTTAGCTTCACAATTCTATGAAGCATTTTGAAGTATTTTATTCTATGAAGCATGAAGTATTTTTGGACAATGGAAATGTGGGCGAATATTGATGGTAACAAAAAGAGGGAAATTTTGATAACGTTCGAATTCATCACATTGGCCTGACACTCTGTTCTCAACTTACCTCACGGAATCGGGCCTGACCACGCGTGATGTAACCGAGTCGACACTTTGGACATGGTCGAGGTGCTGGTTTTGGAGGATTTGACGGACCATTTCCACCATTCGGACCCGAATTTGTGTTGGCATTCGTATTGACTACGAGGTTGATACCACCTGAACTAGGCTATCTTCATGGGAGGGGAGATTGGAACTATTATGAGACTACCAGATAAAATACTGTAGAGCATACTATTGCGTAAATCTGACAATAATAAATTTGTTCAATGGCGCACTCATAATGGTACTGATAAAAAAGTATGGCGCAGAACAGTATTCTTGCTTTCAGTAAAGTCTTATTTCAGACCTCCACATACCACCTGACGTGAAGGTTAGTTACTTCCGCTCATTTATTTCGACGGTCTTGTGTAATTGCACCATTTTGAGATTTATACTGGCAAGTGCAGGAGAAAGTACCAATTTTTTTATTCAATGCAAATTTAGTGCCAGCTTTTCATGTTTTCGTTTGATACTTCCCTCAAGCATGATAGTGGCTTTACCACCGGCATTCTCCAGCAACTGTAAGTGGTGCAATTACACAGAAATTGTAGAGGGTAGATACAACGAGTAGTGGTAGATACAATCGTCCCGTACGCCTCTAGCTCATTCGTTCTTCCTTTGCCGGGGCCTACCCTCGAAAATCTCTCAGGACGGCCACGAAAATGAAAAGCTCTCAAAAACAGAAGAAACGCA